CTGGCTTACAGCGTTTTATATGCACATTACTGATGCATTCAGGGATGCGGGACTGCACTGCGATGCTGTATCTAGGGGGTATTCCGGAGAAGTCTTACAGAAAGTCTGCCATCATTACAACCTGGCAGAATGAGCTCCTCTTTCCACTGCATCTTTATCATTGTGATACGAACCGTGAATCCACACTCCGTACTCATGGCTGCCATACTCAGCCCGCCAGCTACATTACTAACCAGATCACGAGAAGGTTGGAGAAGCATTGAATAGGCTACTACTTCAGGAAGTCATTCACTCTTTTAAGTGCACTATAAAAGCTCGATCCCAGCATATGCTGTTCAGAAAAACCATCGGATTTCAGGGCAACATGCGGGAATTCTACTCTATCTGAATGCTGCAGCTGCCGGCGTAGAGGCCCACCCTCAACATCTTAGAGATGAGGATAGACAGGCAAGGCAAAGACGGGCCTCATCCTTTTCAGACCTTAACAATGCATCACAGGTCAACTGAAGAGCTGACAAAAAAAACCTCACTCATTCCACAGGATACATCTTCAAGAAAAATTTCTAAAACTCCACGGAAATTAACAAAAGTCCTTTGTTGGCTTACAAGGACTGAGTGTGTTTCAGATCCCAGTACTGTAAAATAAGATGAGGTTTCAAGATTATGCTGCACACCTGAGATTCTGCTTCATCCACAGCGTGACGACTTCTCTAGGTCGGTCCCGACTCCCTCAAGATTAGTTTAATTTATCTGCTGTTCAGCTGCGGTAACCTGCGCCCCCCCCCCCTCTTTCAAAGATAGACAGCAGCTTTACATCAGTGTTTGTTGAGTCTTTCAGCTTCACAATAGACTGTCCCCAGTTACACTTCAGCATGGGAGCTGAAGACTCAGAATTTTAGAGGAATACTCATATGCCCATGGAACAGGTCGACAACCTGAAATCAAGTACAGCTGCTCTACAGCGGGAATGAGTTCACTATCTTTTCTTAATGTCTATTGTAGTTCAGTTGAAGACTGCAGTGGATGTTGTTATAGAGGATGGTGGCAGGGTTGGGTGAGGCCAAGCTCAGACATTCACTTTAACTACGGTCAAACTGAGCCACAGGGAAAGTCAAAGGCAAAAGAAAGTTGCTGAACTGAAACGCATCAAGGAAAAGCCATAAACGGAAGGAAGTATGACAGCATCACCACCTTACTAAGGTCCTCACAGTGACCTCAGAAGTGTGGAAAAAATCAAAGTGAATAGAAATGATGCCAGTTTTACGGCGAGATTCAGGCTAAATTGCTTCCCATCAGTTCTAATCTATCAGATCAGTTCCCATCAAAACTAATGGAGCAAAAAAAAAAAGAAAATTATGGTGCAAAATATCTCCAGTAATTAGAAAAATAGTGAGCCTCTTAAATAGATTTGTCTTAATTATTATAACTTAAATGAAAATCAGATCACATTTGGGGCAAAGCGAGATAAAGTTTGTGAACCCTTTCAAATTTTCTCACAATTGTACAAATGTCCAGGAGGCAATTAATTGTTAATTGGTACGCGGGCAGAGTCTGACATCAAAGGCGGCACCCAGCCCAAGAAGGCGGCACCCAGCCCATGAAGGGCCACGTGTTTTTCCAGGATAAACGTTGTAATGAGGCAGACTGGAATCCGACCACACCTGTCAGGGAAGGAACGTCAACTAAACATTGTGAACACAGGATCTCCACAGAGTCACTTAACATCCGTAACAGATGGTCCATGTGAGCAGGGCTACGCCACAGCCTGGGTCACGTGATCGCTCACATGGCACCACAGCCTGGGTCACATGACCGCTCACATGGCAGCGGACCTCTGCAGTCAAGCCGGCACACCTGCTCTCACAGGGCTTCAACTGACTCTGATGAAATGCACCAAGTGTTGGAAGTGAAAAGCTTCTGACTTTGGCATCGCCGCAGTCTGGGGGGGGGGCGCAGGGTTTTTTAGTAGTGTGCAGTTCAGTCGGTTACATTAGCATGCGACTGGAAGGTCGCTGGCTTATATCCCAGGGTCAACAGAGTGATTTCAGCGTTTGGGACCTTGAGTAAACACCCAATCACTCCAGGAACTGACTGAGCTCTACTTTCTGGAAAAACTTGTACATTGCTTTGCATAGCAGCATCTGATAAATAAATACATAAATAAATAAAATGGAAACAAAGTCCATCTACTTGCTTTTCTTCCCTTGACCCAAAGTCGAGCTTGCAAGAGCTTCAACGTGTCCAAAGACCACCGTTCGGGCACTATGAAGTGGTACATCAACTTTGCTGTGTGAGAAGCCTCTCTGTTCTGGACATACACCAGAACAGGACGACGATGCACGGGATTTGAGAGCCTCCTTGTAAATGTAAGGTTCTATGTTCTTCATAATCTATCTTAAGGTTCTAAATCAAATTTAAGAAAGTCTTACATCAACAGATTTGCCCATTGCTTTCCACTGAAATGCATCACATCGGTTGTCAGGGATTGCCCGTGACAAGCAATATTTAAACATATATTTTCCTTTAAGTATTATAAGCATAAACCGTATCACAAATCTTAGGATGTTTATTACAGAAATATTTCAGCCTTAACATTTCATCCATTTGCCTAAAATAATCTATAATTGCTGTGAAAATCTGTAAAATGGTTTACATACTAAATGTGTTTTGTTGCTTGGTGTTGCTTAATCAAAGCAGTGTTTGATTATGAGCTAAAATAATTGTGGGACCCCAATGCATTTTTTCTGGGTGTTTTAACGATAAGGTCACCATTTTTTTTTAGGAAACAGTCAGAACAGCATGCACACAATATTTTGTATACAGGGATATTTACGGGCGGCATGGTGGTGCAGTGGTTAGCACTGTTGCCTCACACCTCTGGGACCTGGGTTCGAGTCTCCGCCTGGGTCACATGTGTGTGGAGTTTGCATGTTCTCCCCGTGTCGTCGTGGGGAGAACCTCCGGGTACTCCGGTTTCCCCCCACAGTCCAAAGACATGCTGAGGCTGATTGGAGTTGCTAAATTGCCCTGAATGGTGTGTGAGTGTGCCCTGCGATGGGCTGGCCCCCCATCCCGGGTTGTTCCCTGCCTCGTGCCCGTTGCTTCCGGGATAGGCTCCGGACCCCCCACGACCCAGTAGGATGACCGGGTTGGACAATGGATGGATGGATGGGATATTTAGACTGGTCAGAAAAAGTAAATGATTGACCCAATTCAGAGAACAACTGTAAGGAAAAACATATGGTCCAGTTCCTAAATAGCCATCACCAGTATCCCACAGCTGTGCTGGGAATTGTTGTGCTTAAGAATATCAGATTACATACCATTGTCATCAGCAATCTAACAAAAAAATATCACGGTAAGTGAAAATGTTTGTTTTGTTTTGTCGAATCCATCTTCAGGATCTGGAATGAACTCCTATACTGAAAATGTGAAAGTTCAAATTCTGTATATACACCCATGATGTTCTAGGAAGTGTGTTTGGCACGAATCTGACATGGATTCTATTCTCATCCGAATTTAAGCGTCAGTTACATAATCGTAGGGTTCCGTTACGGACGACTTCTCGGAAAAACACAAACATGCAAGTCTCCCCTGCTCCTGCTAATTCAGATTGTAGCTCACAATGAAAAATAAACAGGTAACCCTTAAGAGGGCATAACTGGGAATAACTGGCCATTTTACATATTTCTAAAATCTAATTTTCATAAATCTATAAAAAATTATAAAATTTATAAAACCAACACCCTCCCATTCACATAGTCTTCATTTTCTGCCAGTGATCACACTTCCCCAAGACAGAAATCGTAATGAACAAAAGAGCATTATCATAAATTGATTTTCTTTTAAGAACAGTTTCTTAAAACACCAGAGAAATCTATTTAAGAGGACGCTATTACCCGGATCCCTCAATCTCCCCCGGGGGGGGGGGGGGCCAGGGAGAAAAGATTCCTACCGAACGACACTTCCATTACGCTATTCAGTGACTCTCCAATTCACGCTATATAATAATTATAAAATAATAATTTTCTGCTGAGCCTTTGCCATCAAGCATGCTTTACAGTCGGACATTTAACAATTGAATTTATTGCGCAACTGCGTTTTCCTAACTGAGGGGGATTTTAAAATATATATTTTTTAGTTCAAGAGGATTCAAAACCTTGCATTAACCTTACATGACCACCACTGAGCACAAGTTGGTACCTCACACGGCCCACTCAGTGTCCAACGCTAATGCTGTAAAACCTGACGTGCAGGTGGAAGTTAAAGAAGAGGACAAGACAGATCTGAGAAGCCAGAAAAAGTGAGAGACATTTTAGTGTCACAAGAAACGGGATTCCTGTGGTTCTTAACAGAAGACCAGCAGTTTAAAAGGGGCTATTACAATTCACACAGATTAAAATTTAATCATCTGAAATAAAAGTGGTATATAGTCTTCTTTGATTTGGGGCTGGCAGCAAAAGGGGTGAATTACTAATTAACTATTAATTGCATTACTGAACAAAAACCGCTTATTCAAAAGTAAGCCTTTGCCAGCATGTTTTAGTATAAAAGATATATCACTACTTCAAAACCAAACACCTGTTAAATTCAATGCAGGATTCCAGCTAGATATTTTGATTGCCCCACTCAGTGTTTCAGAAAGATTATTGCTCAAAATGTGCAGATTTTTACTTGAATTTCTCACCTAGAAATGAGTTTCTGCTACAATTTAAATATTCAGTAATTCTCAACCCAGTCCACAGAGACCTTGAGACAGTCCACATTTTTGCTCCCTCACATCTCCCAGCACTCACACCAAACAATCAGCCAATCAACAACACCGAATACCTGGTAAATACCAGTTGGGAGCTGAGAGGGAGCAAAAATGTGGAGTGTTTCGGGATCCCTAAGGACTGGGTTGAGAAACACCGAAAGTCGTCAAACCTAAAAAACACACAGGAAACTCGGAAAGGGGCCCCACGGAGGACAATGCCAGAGAGAGAAAGAGCCACCAGTACCTCCATTGCCAGGGCAGCAGTCTGCTGGTCATAGTGGTTCAGCAGGTTGGGCATGAAGGTGGTGTTGTAGGAAAGCTCCTGGCACATGCGTAGGGTGATCGGCTCGCAGGCAAACATGCTGTGGCTCTCCGCCGAGTCGGCGCGGATGGCAGCGCACGCCGTCAGCGCCGAGGCCACGACCCAAAGAGTCGCCAAACCCGGACGCCGTTCCCGCACGGGGACAGCGAACTGGTCCATTGCGAACTTTACGAGTGTCAGTCTCAGAAACGGCAGCCGGTGGGGGGCGTGGTGGGGCTGGATCAGGAAGGGAGCATTAAGTGAGGGCGGGGGGGTTCCTTCGTACGTGTATATCTACTGCACCCATGGAGTCTACACAGTCCACCATGGCTCTGGGGGCTTTGGGTAAAAAAAGATCCTATTCCTGACAGGAAGTGCAGTAGCCGGCCGGCCGTCCTCGTCCGTGAGCCCTGTCCAGCGTCAGCTCTGCTGCGCTACACTCCACATTCCCACGGCAGTTCGCTTCGGTCAGGCCTCCGTAAGACTCCCTGCCTCCCACGCTGAAAATGTTGCACCCTGACAAAATATCTCACAGGGACGTTAACCAGCTTACAGAGGACAGGGAGACCTGTGGAAGAAAAAGGGTTAAATGTAAGAAAAAGTTCTGGTTGTAAAGACAGACTCATTTTCACTTTTTTTTTTAATTTTTTTTTTTTAATCACATTAATCTCCACCCTCCAGTTCTCATCCTAAAGAAGATGCAGCCATGTCAATGCATTTCATTTTAAAAATATCTCCCTGCTCCTGAACACCAGTGACACTTTTCATATTACACATCCTGCAAACTGTGCATGAAGCGCCTCACTCCTGCTGTACTTTCTTCTTTCTTGACTAAATTTCCAGAAATATTTGCGAGGTCCCTCTGACCATCGACTCTCGACAACTGTAATTAATATATTTTTCACTGTGCAATATACATAAAAATAAATATGTCCGTACCAAAACTTATTTAGTTTCTACGTCATAATAATGTGCGGTGAATGGCTGCTTGTATTACAGCGATCGGTAAGACATGATCACTGCAGCTGACTCCCACGCGTCTGCGGCCGGCTGGACAATGCGCCATGTCAGCGAAATCCATCTCAAATCGGGAAGAAAACAATCCAGGCAAGCTGCCCCAATCTCTGTGCCCTTTACAGAAATAAATCTGCCTTTTACACAGATTGCTCCCTTCCTTTGAATGTCCATTTCCATTCGGATCGGCCCCCCTGCGAAGCGGCTCCCCATCCCCCTCACCCCGGCACACACGTTTCTATGTCGGTATCCAGTCCAGAGACAGCAATGCTGATAACATGGACGCCGAACACCAGACGGCAGATCCTTCACCTTTTCACACGATTTCGCGAATTCGCCAACAAACAGATTTATCCGGTCGGCTGGACAAACCCATATTGCCTATGGACGGAGTCGGCTGCATGCTGACAACGTGACGATCGGTTTAGGAAATTAAAATAATAGAATTACGTAAATAATAATAAACATATTTCGTGAACGCGTAAGGTAGAAGCAGAAGAGAAAGCAGAAGTTAACCTTGGGTAGAGACAGCTCCAGGCGCGCGGCGCTCGTTGCCATGTTTCTGCCTAATTACGGATTGCAGGCTGCTCGCAGTCCGAGTCTTCGGCAGGTTCATACGGCTTGGGCGGGGACGCGCGTGAAACGGGGACGCGCACCACCGCCACAGGGGTCGGGGGGGTGAAGGGGGGTGGGTACGTTTATTTCAGAGCAAAGCGGACCGATCGAGTAGTAAAATGTTGACACAGCTCGGTCGACGTTAGGTGAGGAGTTGCACTGAGGTGAGGTTTCTGCATCCAGCTTTTCAGCTGCAGGGCATCGCTCTTGAGCCGTGCATTCAGCGCTGCCCACGCAGATCAACAGCGGGCAATTTTCAGACTTAATTATGGAAAACGCAGAGATATCTTTATTAATGCTGCGTAAAATATTGCATTGACACGGATAGATTAAGGTCTGGATAAAAGCACCCTTTGAACAAACGAGAAGAAATTGATTAATATTTTCACTAATACCAGTGCATAATATATAAGGTACAATCAGTAGCTGAAACACCTTTAAACTGTAACAAAACACAAACAGCGTTGCGGAGGTTCATCAATATAACGCCGAGTCACTTCCGGTATCAAGGAAGGTCCGGAGTCCGACCTTTAGAGACGCTGTTCCTATGCGATAAACGGCGTGGCGTTTATCACATGGGGGGGGAGGGCTAAGTTGGAGAGTGGTGATCCACCTTCATCTTCAAAGAAAGGATGAATGTCGCTGCGTTTCGGGAAATCGGTAAAATTGTGTGATTCACATATGTGCCGTGTATATAACAATGTCATTACTAGAAAGGTGATAACTTGTATTCATAATGGTGAACAACTGCAGCTGATACTTTACTACGGTTGTTAAAGCAGGTTTGGTTACTGTAGTAATGTGAGATGCACAGTAAGGATAGGTGTCAGTGCGAGAACACAAGGACATTAAACTGGATGGAGATGATTGACTGAGATGATGACAGAAACATTCTTCTGATGAATGTATTTAACTACATAAATAAGCATCAGTCTCTCCAGGTAATGGTTCATTCTTTGTGTTCTACTAAACTCAAATACTACCGGAATATACTCATCCCTGGGGTCACAGTGATGACCATATAGGTTCCATAACTATACAGATTCAAGGTGGGCTGTGGTTATGGGAATGCTGTCCAGCTCACGGTTCTCTGTATCTTTGGTCATGCCAGTGTCTCCCGTTTTTCTTGCAATTAGATGAATGTTAACTAAATGTCTCTGCAGCTTCTCCTGGGATTCCATTATTTCCATGTAATATTTCCATGTAATACCCACTTACATGCACTGCAATTTCCTGCTAAGCATCAGTCAAGTTTGCTAAAAAAAATAATAATGTTGAATTCCATATTTATACTCAGTACTACATTAAATCCTGTTCTGATATAGTTGACATAATTTGCATCCATTTATCAAGACTTCAGAGATGTAAAGAAATTTCCCATAAATTGCACAAGAAAAACATTCAAAGGAAACCTCTGATTTATTGTACTGCTACTAATTATATTTAAACCAGAGTTGTTCGTGGGTTTAAAGATATTAACCAGTCCAAGAAAATGGCTTCTACACACAAACATTATCTCATGTGCTGTTAAATTTGAAAGCACCACCTTAAGGAACCTGGTAAGTGTTCAGAGGAGGTCAGACCAACTCACTTCTTTCCTGGGGCAAACCTTTGCTGGACTGCTGTTCCATTTCAAGACCAAAAACAAGTAAATAAATATCAAACACAATTTTTTAATTCTTAACAGTTATATTTGTGGTCCAGGTCTCCCTGCACTCTATACAAATTATCCATCACTCAACATTAAATTCATATTAAGGGAGACAAGCTCTGGCACAAAAAGAATTACATTACAAGCATTTTGTGTACTGTAGCAGGTAGTGTGTCGGTTGAGAAGTGTTGCACTTTAGATGAAATTTTCAAACCTGCTGTAACTTGAAATCTTTGCCTCAGGTATATTAGGCAATTCAACAGTCACCCGGAGGTTTGTGAGTTGTTATGATACGTAATAAATACATAATTACATGCAGGCGATCGGCATCTATCCAAAAAGAATTTAGAACGGGATATGAAAAAAAGACATTAAAAAACAGTGTGTAATGAAACATTTCAAGTGAAGCTTACGGTTTTTTATTAAAGTATAAATGCAATCATGACATTTGGTATATAAAAAAAGAAATCAACACAAAAACAACAAACATGCAAGAATACTATAAAATGCTCATTACTTCATGTAAATTTAAACCTTGTTCAGATTCACGGCCTTTGAAGTTTAGCCACTCGCCAACCCAAACTCACAACGGCATTGATGTGCCTCATCATCGACAATGAAGAGTCACTGCTGCTTCACTTTCTTGAGTTTTGTAAGGTCTGTAGTCAGTCAGACAGGTAGTATGAAGGAGTCTCCTTTTATGCTCATAACAAAATACTTAGGTTATAAAAAATAACATTTTAGGCGAAAGTGACATTTAAGACGAACATTGTTGTCCCCCCCCATTGAATATGCATTAATGTAATATAACAGCTTGACTTCTTCCTCCAGAAGTGTACAAACTCACCTCTGATAAGAAGCACTGCAAGACGCTTCATTGCAAAGAATGTCAGCGTTATTTGACATTTCATTAGAGATTATTTTATTGGCCTGAAGAGCCGTCATGAGGAAACAAAGTCTAAACACGACAATGACAAGATAGTGATATCTATTTAAAAAGGCAATCCCGCCCAACAAAGTGTGTGTCTCCTTGATGCAAAACTATAAGTTATTATTTTTCGTACAATCGGGGGCACACATTTCCACCCCCCCCCCCCCACCCCCCCCCCCCCCACCCCCCACCCCATCAAAAGTGATGAAATTGCATGGGAACTTTAGCAAGAAAATCTTTGGCATTACTCAGTCTGTCATCTTTTCTGTGCTGCAGACTCACGGAAGGGACTGGCCAGCAGTTCAGTAACCACCTGTAACATGTTTAGAACATAGTCATCCAGAATTACATAAAGTCACATTGTACATTAATCCACATGCATAAGATTATCAATCATAAAATAATTTGATGCATTGTTCCTTAACTTTAATGCTAATTGTATGCCGTGTAATTTCACATGCCTAACATTATGCAGATTGCAAAACAATCAAGCAAATACCATTTTTGATGTGGCAATTTCCTATAATTAGCATTGCTGACTAAACTAGTGCATCGTGCATTTAAATTATAAATAAATAATAATAATCATGGATATGAACCAGAGGCGCATATTTCAGGTCCAGAAAGTACAAATCCAGACCAATTTTTTTTTCCAGCCTACCCACTGAGCATAAAGAATCACAGTGGCAGAATACTAAACTGGTTGGTTGAAACGAAATCTTGGTTTGGATTTTTATTTTCTGAATTTGAAATGTCCACCTCTGATATGAACATACAAAATAATCATCTGCCCTGGGGGGGGAGTGTGTCTCACCTCAGAGACCCAAGTCCTTATGTGCGGGCAGGTTGGTGCCCAACAAGCAGTACCTCCTGAGCGGAACATTCTGGATCTTTCCTTTTCCTGATAGCCACGGTCTCTTCCACCTCGTGCTGGGAGTGACGATAGCCGATATTCAGGCTCAGACAATCGGGCATCTGTACTGCATTTCTAACTTTACTATATAGTTTAAAACATCACTTTTTGTTTGTTTAAGAAATTGCTGTCACTGATGACAGACATATAATTGAGCGCAGAACTGGTAGAGCTGCATTTGTTCTAGGTTGTGGGTGATTTTTTTTAAACCCCATTTTTAAACATCATCCCACCTTTCAGAAAAGCACCTAAGGTTTCCATTTCCCTGCCTAATACGATATTCACATCTAGGAGCACTGGCACATAGAGGCAGCTAAAACTGGCAAAACACAAATACATAATGTTTATGTTCATCATAATCGATGTGTGTGTAACAGTACCCTCGGTTATCTTGACGTATTAAGAGAGCACGGGAGGAGCGGATGTGAGTGTGTGTGTGTTTGTGTGTTGGGCGCAGCACGGACTGCGGCGGAGATGGACAGGATGATGGGTTTTGCGTCTAGGAGACGGTAGCTGGAGGGGGCACCTGATCTTTCATGTAGCTATGACCACAAGGCCACAGGCCTCGCAGCGTCAGTCCAATGATGAAACACCATATGGAGATCCCAGCCTCTGTCGCGGCCAGAAACGCGCACGGGAACCACAGGGTAAGGGTGGTGTCCTGATGGAGAGAGAAACACAATCACAGTTCCACACTCCTACTTGTTCATGAAAATTAAATTATGCTTAATATTTGTCATTTGTACAAGCACAAGTAAATTGGAATGCTGCTTTTTGCATATACATAATCTCTCCTTTGAGACATGCAAACATATACAGAATGAAGTTTGGGGGTCAAGAATATGGTCAAGCCATTTACCCAGAATCCCCGGGGGTGAGGCGGGGGGGCTTAGGGCCCAACAGACATGCGATTATTTTGCAAAGCGCGGGATTCAAACCAAGGCCCTTCTGATCACAGACACATGGGCCTAAATGACTGAGCCACACACCATTGTGTGTTGGCCATCAGCAATTTATGTAAAGCCAGGTTCTCTTACTGAGACCAAGATTACTTTGAGTGTGTGCATAAAGAAGCGTGCCATGAGCATCGGTCAGCCAATCAAGTAAGTATGGATCGCAACAGGGAACATATTTCAATGTAGCGCATAGAGAATTATTATGGGAAAATATGAAGAATTCTAAAGTTCAATAACAGAGCAACAACCATGGCTGTTGCCAAAGCTAGAAAGGCATGCTGCAGCACATCGATGACAGCAAAAATCCATACGTATAATCTGATTGTCATTAATTGTCTTAATTTCCAAACATGCTTTGTGGTTTTTTTGTAATTATTTTTATTCATATGCACAATTCTATTTTTCATTATTCAGTAATAAATAAACTTGTCTCACACACACATACACACACACACAAAGCGTGAGTATGTGGATGGGGAAGATGTCAAAGGTTTCGATATATTTTAGGAGAGTGACATCCATGTTCATTTATAATTACACCATTCAAAGTGGAAATGGTAGAGTCAATGGACTACTGACAATAAAACTAAAAGAGACAGACATGTTCAGTACATGGTGTTTGCAGAAATGAACTATGGAGTACAATGCACACCACTTGATTTTTAGATTATGTATTTCTATGCGTTTTTATCCACACTGTGTCCATTCACCACCCGTGAACGTAAGAGAACAACAGTCACCGAACGTCAAGTGCACAGGCCGACATTCAAATGTTAATTACAATTCACCCGTAATCTGGATGTCTAAGGGGTGTGTAAGAGTTCTTATCAACTCTTCGTAGACGTAGGGTTTGAAATGCAAAAATGATCTGTGTGCATCTCTGCCGGTAGACATCGAAGTGATTAAAAACGGCCTGGCATGCTTTATGAAAGATTTAACTGCCGGAAGACTGAATATCAAATATACAGCTAACATTACTGCAGTCACAGGATTCTCATGTGCAAGCTCTGAAGCATGTCAGCCCTGTAGCATGAGTTACCATGGTGATGTATCCTGCTAAGAAGAGAACCAGCGCTGTGATTTCGGAAAGCCAGAGTTGTCGCTACTAATCCTCAAAGTAATCCAGCTAAGCAAGGAATCTGGCTTCATGATTCAGGCCCCTGGTCACAAGTAGCCAAAAATAAACACTCTGGGCTAAGCCTGTACAACTGACTCAGACCAGCCAGTATAACAGTACCTAAGGCAGTGGTTCCCAACCCAGTCCTCAGGGACCCCAGACAGTCCACATTTTTGCTCCCAACACCTGTACCAGGTGTACCAGCCCCTTGTTCTTGATTGGCTGGGAGCTGGGAGGGAGAAAAAATGTGGATTGTCTGTGGTCCCTGAGGACTGGGTTGGGAACCACTGACCTAAGGACATGGACTTGAATCTCCCAGATTACTGATTCAGTCCTTAGAGTTTGTTTATGTAGTAACCGTGAATTACTCCAATGAAGTAGTACTGTCGTATTCCGTGACCCAGAATTACTCCAGTAAAGTATCCAACTGTGTAAATGGGCAAAGCTGACCAAATGTGCACTGAGGGAAACTTGAAATATTAAGCCAACCTCAGCGCCAGTCTAACAAAGTCACTGCTGGTGGGGGCACGCTCACATAGATGCGGGTTGTGTCAAAAGGGCAGTCGGCCACGATGGAGGAGCGGGCGCCGGCAGGGGCCGAGGTGAAGTTGCAGCCCTGCATGAGGCTGTGCCCCCCCCCGTGGATGGTCAGGCCGATGGCAAGGAGGATGCCCACGGTACAGGCGGCAGAGAGCAGGGTGTTCAGGAAGGAACCCACCAGGAGACCGACTTGCTGCAGGGGGAGAAGAGAGAGGCAGAGAGAAGCAGATGGAGCCAGACAAGAAAAAGGACTAAGACCTCTGTGGGCAAGGTTCATACTTTTAAACACAGACAGCAGAAATAAAAAGGAAAAAAGTCTTACCAGTTTTCTATTAAGAAGATTTCTTGACACCAGAATTGCAATGATACCAGTTGCAATACTCTGAAAGTAATTATTGTATTAATATTTGATTAAGAAAGTTAAAAAAAAACAAAAGGCAGGAGCATCACGAGAAATTTATGAGAAGGGGACCTAAGCCCTTACTAGGGTCTGATTTTTAATGTACATAAACAGTGTGTTCTCATTTAATCCAATTAGTCTACATTTATTTGGGGGATGAATTAAAAAGCAGCCTTAGCGACACCCCTGGTGTTTCAGGTCCATGTGAGTATAGTTACGCCAGCTGGTCTAGATCATTTATACAGACTTAAAGCAAAGTGTTTATTTTTGGTCATTTATGTTATCGAGTAGTAAACGTAAGAGTTAAGTTCTATACCTGGATAGCTAATTGTTACCTCTATATACATTTACACACACACACACCAACATTATATGACAAGCCATAGAAAGAGACTGCATAACACAACGTCTTACCAACAGTCCAGACGAAACAGCGATGATGTTAGCTGCTGAATATTCCGTAGTGATTCGGCCACTGGGTTTGGAGATATGCCGTAAAACCGTGCCGTGCACGATGGCTCCCAGGATGAAGTTAATGTGCCCAACTATTATCAGCGCTATACCTTTTCTCATCAAGCGACGCGGACCCTTTTGTTGATCTAGAAAGACATTTTAAAATAGATTCAACACAGAATAATATGCAGTGTAGAGCCTAACCAATAGGAGCAGAATTAAGAGGCGAAAGGTACACAAGTGATTATTTCATCTTGCTATAAACTTTTAAATTAGTCGCCCTAAATTATTAATAAAAATGTTCCCCGATTTATCACAATTATCATTATATAGACCTTTATGTAAACGCTGCTTCAGATGTTAACTTTTGTTTCCACCTGGGACATGCGACTTCCTCAAGTAGCCTACCTTTCACCCAGGCGAAACTGCACGAAAAGTACTTAATTTTACTTGCTCATTTAGTTTTACGTGGACCGTATCATGAGGCGAAATGCTCGTCCCTAACATGGTGGGATATCAACGTTAATAAATAAAATTGCATTAGTCTTTCCTTTTCTACGAATGTGTTTCTGCTGTGCGACATAGAGCCTACAGAGTGAGCACAGCGCGTGGATCGTCTAATCTGTGTTAAAACAAAACTGCTGAAATACGTCACTGTAAACGGACTCACCGAATGCGCACATTGTTAATATCTTTCTTTCCGCAGCCAACATAAAAAGCAAAAACCTTCCCTAGCGTCACCATTCGCCGTCTTTTTGCTTCTTTCTATGTCTCAGGACTGGACTCCTCTATGACGTCACTCGCTCTTACCTGTAGGGCGGAAGCGCAGTCGCATTGATTAAACAAAGGTCATTCAATGCAAATACTTCTTAGCAGATTAACCCCAGCACGGTGAATCCAAGTCTTTTTGTTTGTATAAAATTCTTAGAAGTGACAATTAGTATATTTTTTCCCCGTAAAACACAAATCATCTTACTAATATATTTTTTTGTAAAATATTTTATCATTAAAGTTTTAATAGCAGTTTAGTCTCAAAACTACACGCGAAAATATTTTATTGTGTTGCTACACACTGTAAGCGAGCATGTGTGTTCATACACCATATGTGCAGAACTCATAACGTATTTACAGAGTTCATAATGATTGGCAGTCTTTGGTGCAGAGTAATCATAGTCAGTGGCATAGACATTATCTGGATGAATTCCCACCATCCAGGTAACTTTTGAGTTTCTGGTACTTCATTTATCAGGAGATAATCACCATGGCCTTACATTTGGGTAAAACGACAGCCTTGCGTCGACTTGCGTTGTCATTTGGGACCGGGACCACCGGACACAAGTCAATTTGGGTGTATCTCGAGCTTGTAGCTGTCCGACGCATATTTAATACTGTATGCATAATATATTACAAGTTAAATATTGACAGTAGGTCATTACACAGCTGGCAGGGCTGCCCATTCTCCTGCACCTGTTACACTAAGCGATACGCCTGCTAACGGCAATCGGACGTGACTCGATCAGGAGTGACGAAACGTAAAACCGTATAAAGCAAAGTAAGCGAACTGGGACCTGTGGAACTTTAGTTGTTCCCTGTAGCCTTAGTAGGTGGCATCAAAGAAATGCTAATTTCGAGAAAATACCAGAGGTGGACATTTCCGGTCCATAAAGGAAAAACTAGACTTTATTTCAACCAACCAGTTCAGCATAAAAGACTCTCAGTCAGACAGTATACGACTGGTTGGTTGAAACAAAATCTTCGTCAGGATTATTACTTTCTGGGCCTGAAATGTCCACCTCAAGAAGAGACAGATTAAAATTCGTTCGTAATTAACATTTTACGGAACACCATAAATCAGAAAGAGACCATGCGTTTAAAATTCTTTACTTAAGGGTGTGCTATAAAATTATAAAGATTCATGCATGGCAGAAACACAATCTCAGCATAACCCAAATTGTTTTTCTTAAAAAAAAATTACTTCAAGCTGTCGCAAACAAAATGTGACCCTGTAATTTCATGAGTAACTAATCTCCTCACGCAAAGTACGAATGAATATTCCGTACAGAACACAAACTAAAATAAAGTAAAATAAGATGATATTCTACGCAATCGTACTGCAATCAATCAGTCATAGATCCAACCTTTTGCTTGATAGCATATCGGGCGGACCAAAGGTAGATTTAGTGAGCTTGCTAAACATCACGCTTAGCTTTGTCCTAACAACACACTCATTTTGGGCAGTACAGGTACGTAAGTATGTTGCACCAGTGTTAAATCTGGGGCTTATCGTTTGATCTTCCTGTACATGAGGAATGTAAACATTACTCAACTGTACAACCGCTGGATCCAGAAAATGTTTCTTCACCATTTAGTTCACATGCATATGCTTGTGTATTAGCTGGACTTTATTAATAATGGTGCAGCTGCCTTTGGATTTTGGGAAAAATTATGCTGTATAAAGAATTTCTTAATGAAGACCACAGGATATATGTAGAGTGAGTATTGTGCAAATGGGATAGTTAAACTTTGCAGTTAATATGTGTTCAGTAATACTTAATTTTCTCTTCTAAATGTTCAAGGGACATTAATGTATTTAGAATATCAAGTTGGTATTCCAGACATTGACATGATTTTTCCAGAAAGTAAATTTTCAGTGTCCAATTTTAACAATACTCACCCTAACAGGATGCCACACACACTCTACAAAGCCTAAGTCACAAAGAATCCAAAATAAAATAATTTTGAAAAATCAATAACTTTATATACAAACCTGTTTTGTTTATAAAGGAATCTTAGACATATGTTCGATAGAAAGCAGAAATGCTTAGAATTCAAACTGGCACTATACAAATTTCAAACTCCAGATGAGCATATTTAGCATAAATCTTAAATCGAGCAAATCTTCAAAGTTTCAGTTGATTATGGTAGCTTAGATTTTCAGGCATTTTGCCTTTTCTTGACATTAATTATATGATCACTGACTTGCCGAGTGAAGCACAGTTCTTCCTAAGCAAGAGATCGAACGATGCATGTAACACGCTGAAGGAATGCAGATGATTCAGTGCAAGTGACCACACATGTTGGCAAGCACTGTATACTAAAACTGTGCTTATACTTAATGCTATATAACCGCTTTTGGCTGTAAATACACTTCAAAGAATAACACTCACTTTATATATGTATCAAGAAAAATAGCGGGAAATACACCCATGCTCTCCCCTAACAGTTAGCTAGAGCAATTGCTGACAGCTTGTAAAGGTCTCCTTGAAGTCAGTGACGTGCCCAAAATCCTCTGCATGAGCCAATCAGTCTTTTGCTTCAGTTGAGGATGGAGTATGGGCACCAGAACCGTAGATACTAGGATGATACAGTGACCGGGTTATAAGAACCGCTGCGGTTGTAGAACTTGCTGAAGGCCTCTTCTAAAACGGAGGCCAGTCGTGGCTGATCCATCTGCGAGAGAGAGGAAGACACGGAGAGGTGAGCCATCGGCGGCCTGCTTGAGGGACACTGCCGCTTGGCAGGCCTTCGTAGGTCAAAATCAGAGCAGCAGCTTCTGGGAGGCTGGCCAGACAGTGTCAATGGAAAACACCAGCGAATGGTTTCTGCAAAAGGTTTACGTGATCTTTTGATGATAATAATAGCACAGTCTATCAACTTAAACATGGGCTTGATATCATTCTCAATGAAAGCACCATACAAATTAAAAATCCATCTATTTAAATGGGAGGTCGTCAACGAATAATTACTTGATAATTGATCATATCTAACCCATTTATCAGTAAGGAGGCCCTGTAACAGCCATCATCAGTTGGCTGCCATGAATTCCTCCAGTAAAACATCCAGCTTTGGATAAAAGCATATTACTAGCAGGAATGGAGAAGCCCCCACCAACTTTCTGCTGGGTCCTGGTCACCCCTTTGTGACCTCATCAGGGAGCAAACAGGCCAGCCTTAACACTTACTTTACACACAATTGCACTTATCTAAACAGGCCGGGAGCTACTGCAATGGGCAGAGAGGCTCGGTGCTCCAGCTTAGAGCAGAGTTAATCCCTTTAAGTGCATCTCTGCGTTACTCTATGTGTCACATGGAATTAAAGTGGCACTTGGATTTTCTTCCTACCTCGCTGACGAACCCCAGCTGAACGAGCTCCACAGCCAGCTCCTGCACGTTCTCATCTGTGCAGAAAAGGGAAGAAATAAGAAAATTAAAAAGAAATTAAATGCTCTGGTTAATAAATGTAGGCTTTTCACACAACTGAACAATGAGTCCATACAGTGAAGGCTGACATCTTGGAGGAAGCTCATCTTTGGGGCGTATGATTCACAAGCTTCCAACAAGCATGTAAGCACATATACAGAGCTACAGTTTAGGCAGAAGAGCCATTTAGCCAAATGTAGCCAACGGTTCTGTTTGTACAGGCCTCCCATCTGTTATACAAGTAAACTAACAGGCAGCCAGCAGATACTATAGTCCAAACTAGTACCAAAAGATGTCCTTAGGATATGCATGTTAAAAATGCTTAATGTAGAAGATCTTCCTAAAAATAAGTGATAATGTCATTCTAGGAAAATGTATACATTTACTTACTGGGTAATAAATCACAGCTTAGATGCCTGTTAAGCTTATCTTCAAGCTTGAGTAATAAAGTAAGCTGTAAAAAAGGATATTTTATTAACATAACTACATTAATGTATGTTAGCTGTAGCTTGCATAGACAGCCTTCATTCACACCGGGGTATTCACCAGGGAAACTATACAGCCGGTACTGATTTGTGAAAAGGAAACGAAGGTTAGTACCCGAGAACCTATACACACACACACGCGCACGCACACACACACACACGCAGCGCTTTACAGGTTTACAACTGTACCCCCATGTTATATATTGTTGGGCCAGCAGGAAACTTACATGGTGCTTTGAACCTTCTTCTATTGGCTCAATATTGCACTGCATCTGAAGGACCTGAAAAGTTTAAAACAAAAGTAATAATAAAAAAAAAATGTAAGTATGTGGCAGAAAAGCAAAACCTGTGTTGGGCTCGTTTGTTCATTGGCGATGGGGATTTTTGGAAGGTGATCCATCTTGGTCTTCATATGCTGCAGTTATGTTGTATCTGGCTGCATGGTCATTTACATTTGAAAAGCTGACACTTTTGTCCAAGGTGACGTTAAAGTGAGGATCAGGGAGCAGGCCTGGCCAGTGTCCCTGGCCTTGCTCAGGGGCCCAATGGTGAAAATCAGTGTGCTGAGTCTGGGATTCGAACCAGCAACCTTCAGATCACAAGCACAGCATCCGAACCCTCTGAGCCACATGGCACTAGTAGACCTCAAACGCACAGGCACCAAATAGCTGAATCATATTACCTGACTGACCTTACAAAGTTAGCAAGCCCCCTGGGAAGGTGGGGCGGGGGGGCAGCCAGCTGACCTTGCATCCCTCACATGACGTTTCCTTGCTAGTTTGACCGAAAGCATTTTTGTTCCTCTCTTCCGCTATCCTGTGTTCTCCGGCAACTATGCTGGGAAGGGCACTTTATAAATAGGATCTTTACATAAAACTTTGTAGATGAAAATATCAAATATCAGCTATTTGCTCAGTTCAGATGTTGTTATATTATGTAATCGTGTGTCCCTAGAGACTGGATCAGTCTATTCCCCGGAGGGCTGCCTGGGCACGTCCTGTGTGTTTCACCTCCTCCGGTCCCTCACCTTGCGGTACTCGAGCTCTGCAGGCTCGGGAGTCGGAGTCTTGACCGAAGGGGTGACGATGGGGGACTGTACTGCCTCCTTCTGTGGCTGCTGCGGAGCGGACATCCTGATAGCCGTGAGAGGATAGATCCCGTTCCTACGAGGTAGGAGGTGGTGTAAATGGGGCACAAACAGCAGCGTCCGCAAAGTGCGGCACGGGATACGAGCCGATGCG